AGAGAGAGAGAGAGAGAGAGAGAGAGAGAGAGAGAGAGAGAGAGAGAAAGAGAGAGGCATAATAATTGGTCACACTGCAGATTGTATCATCAGCTGACCTCTTTATGTTTGAGTCTACCTTTTAGCTATAGTAAACAGTTCTGCCCAAAGCTCTCTGTGCCACTATGCTGATGATACATTTTATATATTCTTTATTATTTAGCAAATAAAACATTTTCACTTCTCATGGAAAAAAAAAAAACAACAGCTTGATGAATTGGAAACAATGAGAGATGCAGGAAACAGAAGAAAAAACAAGTTATATGCTTAATTAAACAAAACGAAGAGTTTTAGGAAAGCCTCTTTATGATGATAGGAGAGGATGCCTTAATGGGGTGCCAAACCATAACGAAAGTAAAATCTAGGGTGTTATATTTGCTTTTTGACGAGGTTTACAATTTCTGTTTAGTTTTGACAAAACTCTGCTTTAATGTAAAGTCTGAAAAACAAAACTTCAATGGTATTTATGCAGCATCTATAACACCGTGTGTGGACACACGTTCTTTGTCATTTTATCCTAGCCAAAGAAAACCATCAAGTATTGGAATGTCTTGTGTTCTGAGTAAAGTAGACACAGAAATGAGGCTCTTCTTCTGGGTAGTTCATTCACAATATTAAAAACAAAGACTCTTTTATTATAGTCTGGAATTCCATAACATGGGGGACCCAGAATAGCTTGTGTAAGAGATGTTTGGGCAACAATGGCATATCTTATGAAATCTGGGTCTACAATTCTTGGCCCACAATGCAAAAACTATAGATTTTAACAGTTTGGGGGATATTCAAAGATATACAACAGGGTCTAAAACTTAAAAGGTCCAATTGATAAGAACATCAAACTATGACAATCTACCCTGTTGTCAACTGTTTTTATTAAAAGTAACTTAAACTCCATGTATCTGAACAAATACAATGTTACCGAGACACTATGATGCATCCAGGAAAATCCAACCACTTGCTCATTACTCAAGTTAGCACACCAGAACTCAGAGAAAAGTGCACATTAAGTGGGCACATGACAAACCTGTATTTCTAACTGCTGTACCACCTGCATTTGCACGCGACATTGGGCGGTGCTCCGGTCATCCAATGCATGCTCATTGTTAAGGTGCCTATGGAACACAACACACAGAACAGAATGCTGAGTGATACCAGTTTGGTGATATGTACTTAGTTTAAAAAGTTGTACCTCTTCAAGAAACTTGTATATTCCTTTGCAGTTAGAAAGTGGAATGCCTTGAAGTCATAGAGAAAGAAAGGAAATGTGCTCCACTATTCAGTGAAAATTATTTGTGTGATATAAAGAGACTCTTCAAATAGCTAAAAATGTCATTGTCTCCAAGCCTATGTCGTTACAAAAACATTTCTCCATTCACTTACAGAGCAGAAGTAGAAATCATGATATGCTTCAGATTTTTGCCATTTTCTCTGAAAAGAATATTATGTGTGTGTGTGTGTGTGTGTGTGTGTGTGTGTGTGCGCGCGCGCGCGCGGACCCGCACACACCCAAACGTGAACGGGTGATAGGCAGTTCCCTATTTCATTTATGTTAAAGTTTGTTGTTTGTATGTTGATTCTTTTGTGAGATGAGGTATGAATTATGTAAAGGTGACAGACTTTTCCATAGAAAATCCGGACCCACAAATAATGATAATTTTCTGTTACTAATACATAAAATATACTGAAGATTGAGAATAATAATATTGGTACATCATGTAAAGAGTCCTAATTGGGACATATCTTTGACACACATAAACATGGTTGAAGAGTTCATACTAACAAAGTTACTCTCATCGTAACATATGTACTTATTATTTTACCCAAGGGCTGAGGGTTTCTCCAATGCATGGTATCCTACCGTACCAAAGATAAACTAGTACAGCAGTATTTCTAATAAACGTGGAAATATTCAATAAAGTTTGCTTTGTAATTTTTAATATACTATTTATCTGATGATTTCCCAAATTAAGAAAGTAATTTTCACGTAATTCAGTTTCTTTTGGTGTGTCTACTTATCCAATGGGTAATGAAGACAGCAATTTAAGAGACACCGAAAGGCAAAAGTATATTGAATAAAACACATAATTAAGAATTCACATAATTACCTCTATGTATTACAGTATTGTTTAAGATAGTTTGAAAGCATTCTTGTAATTCTAAGCACACTGAATTCAAGAAATAATTGTGTTCCCTTTTCACTTATGCTACTTGATATGAATTAGCAGAAAAATGCATGAACAGATACATATGGCATACAATATGAAGACTTAAGATGTCAATGAATCGAAGCTAACTTGTAAATAAGCGGGATTATCTGCTTGTAGGTCTATGTTTAGACACCAGCAACCTTTGCTCCTTTTCACCCCAACTTTGAGAAATTAAGCTAGTTTGTTTTAACACCTTCTCACTGATTATAGCAACAAACCTCCATGCATCTTGCTATAATTGCCAGGCTTGGCTGATGATAAACTGTGGAGTAAAATAGTGAGGTGGATCAGGTCAAGCTATAGTTGTGTGCCGAGGGCACATGAGAGTTCTTTCCCACCCACCCCTCCAGTCTGCTCTGACTCAGCTCCAGCAGGATCTGCTAGAAACCTGGCTGTAATGAGGGTTGGAAACATTCAAGCTCTGTGGGATGAAGGCTGGGAATGTCAGAGGGATAGCTGAGTGGCGTCAAATGTCACTAATTTCTAATAAACAAGACATCATTAAAATTGTTCTTCAAAGTTTCATCGCCCAAATTGTAATGACCAATGAAGCAATGTCCTAGCAGTATTAACACAATGATGTGTTGCATCTTTAAGGTTGGTACTGCTGTTTTTTTGTGAGAAACACTTTTTTTTTCCTACCATGAACTCTTAGGGAATACACACATAATTTATCCTGCAATCAGCTTAAAAGATGCATATTTTTAAATAAGCTATACATAAAGATTAGGATATAAATAGAACTCAGAAGATAAAGATTATGTGGCTTTACCTGAAAAAGTATAGTCAGTATAACACACACTTTTGCTAGAAATCATTTTTTAAAAAGAATTTTTATACTTGTTTACTTCTTAGTGATAATTATCTTATATTTATAGAACTAAAAAAAGTACAAAATGTTTGCATTATATGCTTGGGTCTAAGAGACCTATTCAATTTATCTCTGCAGCTTTTATTAGAATAGAGACTGGAGACTACAATAATAGTCAATGAGGTTTTGTCTTGATTGAATTTTTCCGTGGAACACAAAAGAACCTTGCCATTAAAATAGTCCTTTATTCTCCTGTATGAAGGCGAAAGGTTTTTAAAGTGTTGTGATGTTCAGTAATGAGCCTCTATCTAAATTATCATTGGTGACAAACTCACAAAGCACTTTTCGAGGACACATAGTTATGAAATGCCACGGCTGCCACTTTCTTTCCTGTAATTATAGGCTAGCTTGCAGCCCTTCAATGATCATTTATAGAACAGCCTCCAGTGGATTACTGAGAACTTGAAAAACACATACATACCTCTGCCACATCTCCCTTATCCTTTCCTCGCCATTGTTTACCAGTGATATGTAAAATAATGGTGCCTATTCATTCCCCCTACTTAATTATGCCAATCAAAGTACAGAAATAGTGTCGGATATAAATACAAAGCAGTAAGACCAAATAAATAGGCTAAGTATTAACATTAAATTATGAATTTATGTATTTATGACTATTTTGTGCTCAAATTATTCTCTTTTATGTTTTTCTAACCATCTCAGGTACTACATATTGCTGTTCAAAAATTCTCTATGATTTATAAATCAAGAATAAGATAATACTGAAGAATGAGAGGATCGGTGGAGTTTTGCAGTCAGTGCCTAATTGCTGCTTCCAAATGCATATGCAAAGGGACATTTCATTAATCATTTAATCATGTCCCTTGCAGGAAGTTGGAAATAATGTTACCAATACCCTTTTCATATGAATTCTCCATGATACCATCTTACGCATTTGATATATTGCCTATGTCATAAATTATGGTTCTTACAAAGGACCAAGTGTGATTGTTATCCCTGAAGATGCTTGTTAGAAAACCTTTATTAACTTTCTTGTTTAACTTACTGCTAGTTCTATTTCTCAGCTTCCGACTAGCCAACAAGAATGCTTTCTGGTGGCAAAGGTCTGTAAATTACCAATGCAATCACTAACACCATTTCACAGGCCTGGTCTACTTCTACTGGTCTGCTAACAAGGCGATTACACACAAATTACTGAATGCCTATGAAATATTTAAATGCATTCTGCTCTACTATGCATTAATAAGAGCAAAGCAAGCTCTGGAATTCTGGTTAGTTCCAGTCCCTAATGTCCCCTAATGAGCCTCTTACCGAGACTGCAGTTCAAACAGAGAGGTGAAGAAAAAATGCAAAGGGGGCCTTCAGAAAGGCAGCACTGAGCAAACATCGTGGGAGCCACTTCTAATTTATGGGTCACTTTATAGCTATATTGATTTTTGTTTTCAAAATGGAATAAATGATGTGCTCTACTGACGTTCTTTCAGAAATGCACTGTGTGCTAGGTAGGTAGTGTGAACTACAGGAAAAAACTGTAAACAGACAGCCAAAGTCTCCCTAAAAACAATTAAGCAAACAATGCAAAAAGACAGAAAGTAGGGGGGACTCTTTTCAATTTATTTAACTTACAATTCTCGTCAACGAAGATTTATGTTATAGACACATGTATTAACTATAATTGTACAACTGTACACTGCAGATTAGGGATTCTATTTTAACCTCTAAATTTTCAAATTCATTTAAAGATATAGCATTTTATAAGCTAAAAGGGGGAACGGGCTTAAATCCAATTGTCTCAGAGACTGTTTTAACAAAATGTTTCACTTGCACATCACTTGGGGTTGATTTATTTTGCATCAAGCTTTTTATGGTTAAGCACTGACAGGAGTTTAAATACAAAATGTTAGCTGTCACTGTTCATTTAGCTGATTACGTGAGATGCCTTAGTTTTGAAAGATGTGGGCACTGTCACCAAAAGAAACAACATTCTGACAAGTTCAAAGAATGCTTTCTTGAGGTCATAATTTTGTAGCCACGCTGCCTAGTGAAAGACAAAGAAACAGACAATACACACTAAGTAAGGACATAAATTTTAGAGTAGTTGGCTGCAAGAGAAAGAAAACAAATTTTCACTAAATAAATGAATCTGTTTCCACGGCCTTTTCTGCTGCTTTATTACAGTTTCAAGCCTCAAAGCACCAATCGCCAACCATCTTCATTCATTCATGCTCAGTATCTCATCGATCTTTAGATTGCTGATAGGTATATAGAAATTTTAAAGAATAATAGCCATTGTCACTTTCTCAAAGGACAGTATTTCTGGTGCTGCATCTCCCTCTATGTTTTGTTTGCTGGCACCTGTGCTGGCAAGTTCAACAACACTTGTCTGCTAACTGGAATGCTACACTCTAAAGCTTTTGGCTTAGGCTTTGAAAGTCAATACATCTATATTCAAGCTGACATTGGTGCAATGGGATGGTAATTAACTCTGCAGTCAAACTACACAAAAGTTTTGTCAGATGTGATTACACTTTGACATTTATAAGACAGTAATGAAGAAGTAGTATTAATGCTTTTAGTGATCTAGTGAGATCCTCAATTGCTGGTCAGAAAAAAAAAAAGAATGGTTAAGTTCTGTCAATTCTCACTTTCCATCAAAGTTTGTCATTTTCTCCTGAAAGATGTTAACTTAGATCTTATCTTGTTTTTTTGCTTCTCTTTTATTGTTGTAACAATATCTGCACTAATTTTTATTTTTTGTTAATAAAAAATTATAACCCACATGCTACTAGATATGTAGATATAATAAAATTTCTGGGAATAATAATATTGGTCTCTGAGATCACATATATATAATGCACATAATATAAATATACCTATCATATACATATACATGTATATCTGTATATTAAACATATCATTTACACACACACACATATATAAAGCTAGATGAACCTTTTTCCTGAATAAGTGAAGGTTTTATTAATATTTTATTTCTTTTCAAATTTCTTACATACCTTTAAGAAAAAGACCACATCAGTTTAGGAACTATATCAAATTAATATTCACTTCAGTGCCATACACTGGCATTAGCTATGAACAACATTTATCACAAATCTTTAAATTAGATAATTAAAAGCATATCATATTAAAAATAGAATATAAATAAGACCTTAAAATCTACTGTCATTAATTCTCTGTCATTTCTATAAAGTTATTGAGTAGAAAAACAGGTGATCTTTGTAATCAAAGTTGATATGAAACAAAGTGTTTTCTTAATCGTAATTTCTCCAATTAAAAAATAAACAAACATAACCACGTGGATATGAAAAAGGACCACGGAGGTTAAAACAGGAGTCTACACACATTCATTTGTTGGTGACAGAAACTGAACACTAGAGATGTGTGAGGAGTACTCTTTGTATCTCTTAAAGAAAACTGTTCTGAAGGAGAGCTCTGCAATGCCCCTCAAAAAGTGAGCTAGATTTTCTTTAAAGCATATCTAGATCAGGAAAGTACATGTAAGCAGGGAGTACTATAAATTCAATAAACCTACCTAACAATTTTTAAATACCCTCTTTGCTGGGAAGAGTATAATACATTTCATACCCAGCAAAATGGCAGCTCACAGTTGGTCTGGTGTAACAGACATGTAAATTTTCGTTTAAGTCCATTTCTAAAGAGCCGTTGTGATATGTAAAGCAAATTTTCTCTTAATTGGTCTGAAACTATGAAAGGTTAAAAAAAAAATCTTCATGGAAGTCTTCCTGGATTCCTTTATAAAGGCATTATGATAGCAAGCGCTTGCCTCGTTGTTAGGGCGCCTTGGCTCTGTACTCCGCAGTCAGCCTACCATTTGTAAACACATCTTTTTGATGTTTCTGCCAACATCCTGGCAACAAAGCAGTGCAATTTCAAATGAGCTAATTAACTTAATTGTTGATGAAGCATGAAACAGTTCATTCACCCTGTTAGCTGCACCATGACAACATGAGAGGCTCAGCCTGCAAAGTTACGCATCTCCATAAACCTGTCTGCAGCTCTCTCTTCAGATCTCCCTGTACCAGCAGTGTGTGCAGACATCATTCATGAAAAGGGAATCTTCTCATCTGCAGAAGAACCCTTGAGGAAGCTTTAAAACTAAAATATTGTGGGCAGATACAAAGGATGCATAAGATTTGATTTTAGGCTGGAGGAATTATATAATCTATTTTATAAACACACCATAATAAATGGCAAGAGGTCACAACATGAGTGAAATTTGAAATGTAACTGTTTCTTCAAATGTTAGACATCCCTGATCTTCATTTGTGATTCGTGTTATTAAAACCTATTACTGAAAGGAGGCATACTGCCACCTTAAATAAACCTACAAATATGGCTATTTTATTTCACTGAGGGATATTTTATACCCATTCAAATATTACATGAAACTATTATTAGAGATTTCAATTTTCAGAGAATGTTCTTTTACAAACCTGTCTCATTGATTCAAAGCCTTCCAATAATTTGCAAAATACTTTCATAAAAAGATGAAAATGACCTTTTAACATTCTTAGTCTGATGTTTCCAATCCACTTGTTGAAACAAACTGAAAACTTAGTGTGTTCTAGGAGAGATCCATCTTTTCATTCTTCCTTTATTTTTATTTATCATTTTTGTTTATTTTACATCAGTGTACCAAAACTCCCATGCATTCTGCTTCCCTGTCCCATGAAAAATTGAAAACCTACTTCAAAAACTGTCCAAAATCTTCACAAATGCTTTCACAGCCTGGCCACTTGCAAACTCCATGGCCATAGAGCGTGTGGGAGGCGCCAGTCTCCTCATGTGACGAGCTGTAGCAAGAGAACACAGCGTCAGATTCATCTCAAAAAGCCATAATCGTTGCAGGCTGCTAGCGCCTGTCAGGTTACGATCAGTGACAAACAGGTCAAAACAGGTCAATTCAGCTCAGAGCAGTCAGAAAAATTTAATCGTTCTATTGAATAGTTCAACTGCCAAGGCTAGATGATGTTCCAATTAGACGAGAAATAGAGCCAAAGATGACTGCTAATAAAGGCTGAAAACTAAGAGTACTGTATAATACCATATGCTAATCCTGCCATATGACCTTCCTGTAACATTTTACCTCTAAATAAAAAAAAGTATATAACCTTACGTTATGGAGTGGGAAAAATGTATTTTAATGAAAACCACATGAAAAATCATGGCAATGTTTTTGAAATGCTTCTTTCAAAAGCAATATGAACGTTGGAATCTTTTAAACTAATATTCATGTGTAAACCACACACACAAATATTCCTAGTAGCTACAGCTGAATTGAAAAATCCTGCTTTGGCACAGTATCTATTAACAATATCCTTACATAATTATGGCAGGCCTTTAATGAGTGGGTATTATATCAGATAGAGAGATCCTAGAAAACTAACCTATTTCTGAAGTATATAATCATCAAATTAATCTCAATTAAAACAACAGCATGAAAGCATCCAGAAGCAGAGCATTCTGCAATAAAAAGCAACATGAAAATCTACATGTGCTCAGAAGATTGTCAGGAACAACACCATACTTTGATCTTCTATTTTATCAGTAAGGCACATATGCCATTACATGACTGAACATTATCAATCCACTCCATGTTCATCTGGGAGCAGAGCAGTCTATGTGTTTAAACCATTTCAATATAGAATTCTGTACCTAATCTTCAAGTTTTAAAACCAACTTTTAATTTTTTAGATTATAGACTTTATGTAACTTATTTGACAGATTTGATTGGGAAGTGATGTGCTTAAGCCAGTGGACTAAGTCGGGGAAAAAAAATACCTGGATGCTCCTTTTGGACGGGCAGTTTTAACACAGCTATGATGAAACACTAAGTTGGGAAGTTAGGTCACACAATGCAATATAAGTGGCAAAAGTCAGCTGATTTTCCTGCATGCATTTTCACTCAAATTTATTTTAAAAATCATCAATATGTATTGCTTTGGTTATATTTACTAATTCCATTATGCCACAACAATAAAAAGTCAACTCTGATCATTTATATTCTGGACTATATAATGTTTAGCTGTCTTCTAATTTCTAAGTACAGATTTGAAATGTGAATTAAGGAGAATATGCATGTATGCACAAACTTTTAATTATCTGGAATTTAAAAAGTTTTTGTTTAAAATGATAAACTGTTGTCATAGCTCTTGACTTAATTCATAGTATGTTATTCAAAATATAGCAATACAATCATTTCTTGCACACTCAGGGAAAACAATTTCTTTAAGTATGCTCCCCTACAATATCTAGTATACTGGTGACATTTAAAGTTTTTATAGCTTAAAATAATAAAGGTCAACAGTAATGATTTCTCCTTCACTGGCTCTAAATACATTTTTTTGTTTCTGTTAGTGTAAACTCTCGCTCTAGCTTTGGTGGAAATGAGATGCGGCTGTTAGGAATAGGGCAGTAGATAAGGTTTACCTGTCCCGCCTTGCATTCAGGACTGAAGACTGTCCGTTCACTATGGAGTGATGAGTTATTGGTGGTGATGCTTTGGAAGTGGTGGAGGAGGTAGTCGAGGAGGAATTGTTTGTGGTGAGGTCTAGCCCTCCGTGTTTAATGCCATTGTCTTCCATAGTATGGATTCCAGTCACTTCTTTCCACAGCTGCTGAATCTCGGCAGGGCTCAGACCAGCTGGAAAACGAAAGGAAGCCCCACTGATGGAACAGTAATGTTGACTGTGACGGCCACAGGTTTTATACAAGGATGACTGCCATCACCAACATTAATACATGATAAAAAAAAAAGTCCTCTTGAACCAAATATTTTTTATATTAAATTCAAGTTATTAAAATTAACAAATTAAAAACAGTGTTGAGAAATACATGGTTAGTTAAAAAAATCTATATATGTTCTACTCAAAAATTAGATATTCATACTTGATTTTTAGCTAGTATTATTAGTAAGGAGATGAATGAAATTTTGTAAATAATGTACCAAAATAAATAAAAAAACCAAGAAAACAAAGAGATCAAAATTAAATGATAAACATTCAATGTTGGGGGGGACATGGAGAAGGAGCAGGAGAGAGAGTGAGACAGAGAAAGAGAGACGGACAGAGAGACAGAGAAATTTAGCAGTTATCTGGGCATAGTAATCTTTCTCACAAAGGCCAACTATGTAATTGAATTTCAATTTAGATCCTAAACAAACCAATATGATTACCTCCATGATTCATTTAAATAGGTAATATCTAAATCTCCCCTTCAGTTATTACTATTAATAGAAACTCAACTTCTCACTTTAAAGCATTTCCGGGATCAGATTATTTATGTTTACCGCATACACAAGAGTGGAGATAGAAAGGGCTTTAGATTTTGGTTATTATCTGGAAGAGATATTGTGAAATATACTAAATGACTGTGGTTTATAAGAAATACTTCCATACATTGTCTGGGATAACAAAGCTTCCCCCATCTCTAACCCAAATATTATCTCCAACTGATAACCATCTACAATGAAAAATTAATTTTATTCAAGGTACTCACTCTCACAGCGGAAACAAACCACTCTTAAGGGCAAACCCCATGCCCAGCAGTAGATGGATTACTCAAAACAAACCCAATGGCATCTTTGGATGTTCTTTGCCTCCTAATGTATCGGAACATTGTGTGTGTGTGTGTGTGTGTGTGTGTGTGTGTGTGTGTGTGTGTGTGTGTTTACAGATGCGCAAGTGCAACTATGCACTTTTCTTATACTTTTTCTTTGGTTTTTTATCTTATGTTTGCTTTTTTGTACCATTCTAATTCTGTTTTATATTATTTTACTTTGTTTTGTTTTATTATTAATCCTTAGAGGCTTGTTTGTTTTCTAATCAAGAACAGAAAGCTTTGGAATCTGGATGGGAATGGGGAAGATGGAGAAACTGGGGGGAGTTGGACGAAGGAAAACCATAATTATAATATAGCATATTAAAAAATAATTTCAATAAAAGATAAATAAAAACAAATCTAGGCAGACTGACTTAAATGAGTTTGTCATTAAAATACTTTATTAAGAAAATATCAAAGTAACTAAATAAAAGTCTAGTGAAGGAAGTGAAGCTACAATTTTAATTATTGTCATTTACTGAACACATAATATATTCTGAAGCATCACCAACTGGTTTATATTCCCGCATTAAGCGAACCTCACTGGAGGTCAAGACTCAGTTTATGAACACAAGATTCACTTGCCAATGGCCCTTAGTTTCAAACACTGTGTTCTGCAATACTGTATGAGTCTATCTCTAGTACCAAACAGAGGGTCACTGAATAATGAGCATTCAACCAATGCATATCTACACCAGAGACTGTAGTGAGAGCCATCTGTCAAAGAATGGGTGGAGAAGCGTTCCTAGGAGGAAGAAGGGAGATTAGAGCAAAATAATAGAGTTGTAGGGAAGAAGAGTGAGCACTCTTCTCTTTAGCCATGTATATGAAGAAGTCACTGGTCTACAGACAGTGATAAACTGCCAGTAGCCAGAATTCTCCCTGACCGAGTTGCAACTTCTTGCCCAATTATACTTCACAGTGGTAAGACTAAATTGCTTTGTATATGACAAGTTCAGATATCATTAGTTTACCCAAAGCTATCATTTTGGCAGTTCTGGATCCTTAATGTTTCAAGATACAGTCTGAGATAATAGGAAAAATAGGATAATCTGTTTCCCAACAGTCATTTTTAAATAAATTATTTTTTGGCTTAAAAAAGTGTTTTCCTAATGGTATATGTCTTTTTGTTGTGTAGGAAACTTTTACATGAAAGTCATTAACTGTTGCTTTAATGATAACATTAACACAGAATCATGAATCTTTTTGACCATAACTTTTTATGACCTGTCTGACTGTGTTAGGCATTCTAAGGGCATAAACCCAGAAGGAAAGTCTTTCCTTGTCAGCATCTACATGTCTTCTGTACACCACACTGCTGCCTTTCTGTCCCATCTCCCGACTGTAGCATAGGCCGACACCATAACTTAATGATTTCCTTTCATTTTCACTGGACTTGAATTATATGAATTTGTTCTTCACATAGAAGCCATTAATGATCTATTTCAAGATAAATGAGGTTGTGTAAACTCTCAGGCAAAGACCCCAGGAGTCTGTTTGAATGGTTAGATACAAACAAAAATAATCAAAGAAAGAAAACAAACAAAAACCTAACCCTTACTGCGGCTGACAGTGCTGCTTTTCTTTCTCCTCTCGCCTGACCTCAGCTATCACCCGCTCCATATTTCTTTACATGGTAGCCATCTGCTGCTTTTCCAATGCTTCAAACATTCATTCATGTTCCTGCCTCGGCCCTGGCTATTCCCTGAGCACAGTTATTCTCACTGAGGATAGTCCCAAGGTTGTCTTCTTCTCTTCACTTAGCTTGAAAAGTAGCCCCTCAGAGAGCTGTTGTCCATTGTAGCAACCAGCATGCTCCTCCTCCTTGTCTTCCACCATTCCTTGAGTTCGGGACTACTTTTACTTAAAGAATATTAATTTAGTTTTGGAAATTAAGCAAGGACTGATCTGTCTTTTCCTGCCTGTCTCGCACTCTATTTTCCTCTTCTCTCAGGCTATGTCATTACTATCGTACAAAAGTTTGTTTGACAAACAAGATGAGGATTTTCTTTTCTGTCATGTTCCAGTGACTTGAACAGTGCCTGGGATGTGGTCAGTAAAGACAGTTGTTTGTGTTTGCAATGGAGTAATACAGTTCTTGAAGACCTGTGCATTGTCACATTGAAGTTTGCTTGCCTTTAAAGAGTATCCTACGTTCAAGCATTGTTAACTGTATGGTCAATGTCTAACGAGTTTCAGGCGGCACTAGTGAATTCTGATGCACATCCAGTCACTAAGAACACCTGGCATACTTACTAATGGCAATACTTTGAGAGACTACAGCAGTTAAAGATGCTATTAATATTTAGTTTATGAGATTTGTTAGTCATTTGGTTAATATTAGTATTCACTTGATTTTTGAATGATTTTCATGGTACTATTCATTTGTATAGACCTTATGATATCCTCATGCAAGGAAAAGGGGACAAATGCTAGAGACTTAGGACATCAAAAAGATTTGATGACTAACCTGCTTACCACTCAAGTAGAGTTTATTGGTGAAATCAGAGAAAAAAATGGTTTCCAATATTAGAGAGCAGAGGCACAGAATAATATAAGTAAGGAAACAGTGATTACTTAAGGCACTGGCATACTACCATAGTCTCACAATATTCAAAAAAAATCCATGCCCAGACCACAGGTCACAGCAGTGAACCACAGCTGTGGAGCCAGGGTTCAGATTTAAGCTTCACAGTGATTGCAGAGATTATATCAGTCTGAGATGAACTACAGAAGAAAAACTATTACCATGCTTTTGAGAAAAAATTGTCGCAGCTAATAATTGCTTCAACGCTTCTTGATGGGCACAAAGCAATGTATGATTATTAAGACACTAGCAAGTCAGATTTACAGTATAGTGTTTTATGAGTTCGGAAGTCTTAAGGTTATTTTTCCCAACTGAAACACAAAATTCTTAGACTATGCTCTGCTGATTCACAGTCCTCCAGCCCTGTTTCCTGGGGGTTCTACAGATATGTAATGTAAGATTCATGATCCAAGTGATACAATTCTGCAATGTCAAGAAAAAAAGAAACCTGAATTCTTTTTTTAAAACCTCAATGTTTTCCAAAATTATTTGAGAAAAATGATTAACTCATTCTGCAATTATATTAATTTTTAATATTAGGTAAATGTTTAATCCCTTTAACTGATATGTAGCGCATGTCTCCAAACACAGGTGTTCTATTTGGCATTGCCAGGTGAGCATGCCAGATCTTTCAAACCTTGACTGTTCTTAACTGAGTTTCCTGTTGCGGAACCCTTCTTCTGCTCAAACATGTCTCCTTCAGTTTGACTTATCAGGATTTTTTGTTGTTGTTGTTGTTTGTTTGTTTGTTTTTGTTTTTTGAGACAAGGTTCCTTTGTATAACAGCCCTAGCTGTTTTGGAACTAGCTCTTGTAGACCAGGCTAGCCTCAAATGCACAAAGATGAGCCTATCTCTGCTTCCCTCTTGCTGGGATTAATGGTGCCCCAACTGCCACACCTGGTTTTAATTATCAGTATTAACCAAAATACCATACTGTTCTATGCACTCACTGCTCTAAAAACATCTACAGAAAATTAATGCACAGTACCTCAATCCATATTGACTAGCTTTTTAAGATGTGTTGAGGTACTGGGTTCCCACTGGTGGACACTAAGGCATAGTTTAGTTAAGTGACTGCCGACGTGGTACTAGGCACCTGGAACATTCTCACTCATTTCCTTAATGACTACTCAGCACTTCTTCCCTGACACTTTGCCTAAATGTTCATCTTTCTGTTTTCTTTAGTTGGAAGAGATTTTTTTTTAAAATTTAGTTAGAACATTAGTGTCCTGGAGAATATATTCTTGAAAGCAGGAGATTAGAATATTAAAGAATAATAATCAAAGTTTTTCTTAAATGAAGATTATTCAGCTTCCTCGAACCTATGTCAAAGGCACAAATTAGTTTCAAAAATCTTTATTACTGGGGAATTTTAAAAGTCCATGAACGTTGGGAAATGTTCTTCTACCTTTAAATGATGGTTTAAACGATGGCTTAAACTTGGTTCCTAATCACT